GGGTCCAGAAGAGGGCCACGAAAATGATCAGGGGGATGGAACACCTCTCCTGTGAAGAAAGGCTGAGAGAGTTGGGGTTGTTCAGCCTGGAGAAGAGAAGGCTTTGGGGAGACCTTCTTGCAGCCTATCAGTACTTAAAGGGGGCTTATAAAAGAGATGGCGGCAAACTTTTTAGCAGGGCCTGTTGCGACAGGACAAGGGGGAATGGCTTTAAAGTAAAGGGGGGTAGATTTAGACTAGATATAAGGAAGAAATCTTTTACGCTGCGGGTGGTGAAGCACTGGCACAGGTTGCCCAGAGAGGTGGTGGATGCCCCATCCCTGGAAACATTGAAGGTCAGGTTGGACGGGGCTCTGAGCAACCTGATCTAGTTGAAGATGTCCCTGCCCACGGCAGGGGGGTTGGACTAGATGACCTTTAGAGGACCCTTCCAACCCAAACTATTCTATGATTCTATAACAGTTTGGGAAGATTTTAGTCTGTTTTTGTTTCTGGTATAAATTTAAATGCTAGATTCATAGTTTACTTTTTGCCTTCTGTAAGTGCACAGGGCGAGACCCGTAAGTGCAAAGGATACGCTGTAGAGCTCCAGCTCACCAGTTACATTTAGAAATGGGGGTGATGCAGCTTCCACCAGTGTAATCAAATGTGATCATCTTTTTATGTTGTAGCTGGAGCTGTCAAACCTTAAAGGATTAAATTTTTCGGAGGTGAATCATTTGAGTAAACAGCAACTGTTTACTCAGATGTTTACTCAACACCACCAGTGATGTGTTGGACAGGAGTGTGCTCCCAACTCTCGAATCAAGTTAGGAAAATTGAAGCAGAGGGGATACCAGTATTTCTTTAAAAATGTTTTGGAGTCATGATTAGGGCCATTGTTTTTGGTTTTTTGACCTTTATTGGATGAGTGGATTGAGTGGCCTCTGCTTTATATGCATCAAAAAGCTTCAAGGGGGGGGTGTGGAAAAAAAAAAAGTGAATATTATCACCTTACCTCTTTAATGTGCTGTATCAAAACCTTATTTTGCATGAAATATGCTCTATGCAGCTATTTAACACAGAAAGAAGAATTTCTCTCCTTCCATATCACTCTTGTCTCTCAGATTTTAATAGTGGGATAACTGCATGATACTTTTTGGGGGGAGTATATATATGTGCGTGTTTTGTGGTGTGGGTTTTCTTTTGGGGGGTATTTTTGTGTGTTGGGTTTTTTTTGTTGTTTTAAACAAGTTGAAATGTCCTTGAAGCAAGAAATAAGCAAAGGCAATTTCATATTGAATTATGTTTTTCTTTCTTTAATCATTTGTTCTGCATATTTTTGTGCCTTACCTTTTTTGTCTTCTAAAACAGATTTGCAAACTGCCATAAAGACTTTACTGAAAATAGGACCAGGATTGCAGGATGCCAAACAATCGCAGTTCATTGCTTTCAGAAGGTAACGGAGCATGCCGGCAGACATTGAAAAAAATCCTTGCTAGCAGCCACAATCTAAAAATAGCTGAATGCGTTGAGTTGGAGAGACTAGTGGCAATATCATAAAATTACTAGAGAGAACAACAGGCCAGGTGTCTTTTCCTGTACCTTCTGGTTGCCCCCAGTCTCTTCGTGGAGAGTTGCCTCATTTTTCTATCAGCTTCATGTTATTTTGCACCATGATTTCTGCCTTTGTGTTCATGTTCTTCTGTACTGTTTATGTTAAAGAAACAAAGGATGGACATAAGTGGTCAGTTTTTGCAGTAGATTCTCTGAGAGCCTGCGTTCTGGTGTTTGCTAACAGCGCAGTGTTCTTCAGAAGCGAAAGGTGAGGACTGCGGGAGGAACGCGCAAAATACAAAAGACGTGTCCATATTCAAACGTATCCTGTCGTGGCAGATATGAATTCCAGGGTGCGTGATGGAACATACAACCTACTGTCTATACGTGCTTCTGTCACAGGTGGACATTGACCGAATGACAGAAGATACTTGCATTTTGACCATGTGACAAAGGCCAGATTTAGTCATATAATCTGATGGGCGTTAGTGCTCCTCCTGGGCAGTGGTGAACGCCTACGGTTTGGGTATTTGGAAGCACAATACCCTTCATTTAAGAAGGGCTGGGGTGTAGGGCTCTAACACACTGTGAAGAAAGATTGGAAAGGTTAGTAATCGCTGATAACCTCAACCACCACAGGAGCGTGAATAGTATGGATGGCCTCACAGAAACACTGAAGGGGTAAATGTAATGTCCAGTAGTACCAATAGTCCATAAACTTACACTTCTGCACAAAAGGGTACTTAAGAAAAAACTCTTCCACTTTTATTTGTGAAGAACCTTTTCTCAGCAATTAAAAACACCCACTATTTACAGGTTACTAGTGTGCAAATAAGTGGTTTACAAATTCTAGCTAGTTCACCTGTTTGTTGTTTGCCGAGTACCTCTGAAATCAATTGTGTTTCTCCAATCTGCATTCAGGTACAGTACTGTTACTAGTCATTTCCATATGAGATTCTTCTAGAATATATTTATAGGTACTTAAACTGCATTTAAAAGTTAAAATTCTACGTCTTTAAAAAGCAAATAAATCTTCTGACTATTTTTAATACATTCACAGACAGAAAATAATATATCCAGGCTTTAGTTTTTCTTTAGTTTTCTTCTTTATCTTAAAAGCAGATCTAGCTAATCTAGGTGTGCGTCGCAAACATCCTTGCCTCGCTTTCCATGATATTTAGACAAAACCGTTCCTTTACTGCTCTATCTTCTAAACTCTCAATCGGCGATTGTTTTTAATTGTTGGTGGAAGATCATCATAGCTAAAATGGGCTTTTTCCATTATTTAGAAATTAATGCTGATGTGACATTGCATGTAATTGTATGTTTTGTACATCACGATTTTGTTCATGTTTTGTATGATTTAGGCAAGATTGCGATGTAATAAATGAACTTTGTTGCCAACACTATTCAAATCATGTAACCAGGTAAGCCAGTGTTTTGCAATTTTTCCTGTGAACAATCTCACTTTGTTTTTGAAAGTGTTACAGCCAGGCCAACAACCTAAAATAAGATTGTAAAACTTCTAATGTTTCATCTAGATCTGATTATTTATGTCAGTAATCATTTATATACTGAACTTTCTTGGATGGGTTCTTTAATCTCAACCTGGACTGTGAACAGAGATAACATAAACTGTTTGCCTTTCATTTAAACTATCACTGTATGAATTCCAAGATTTTGAGTTACTGTTGAATATTTAAAATTGACATAAAAGCAACTTGAAAAAACCCGTCAAGGTTAATTCTCTTTTGCCACTGTATGATTTCTAAATAGATTCTGAACTATTTTTGGAAGCAGGATTTTGGTGCTACTCCATATTACTGTGTTTTACCAAAAGGTTTTACAAAAGCTCAAGAAACATCTTTTAAATGTGAGTTGCCTTAACTGTTTTGAATGTTATCAAGGTTTTTAATCTGGCCCAAGTATAGAGAGGGGAAAGAGAAGAAATACTGAGAGATGGTAAATACATTTCTCCCTCTTTCTTTCTTTGACCTAGGGACCATAAAAACCAACTTTTATTTCGAATTAATGACAAGATTTCCTGCATGCGGAATATATATCTCAAGGATCTCTTGCCAGACCGTGGTTTCGGAGGGGATCCTAATCACCATGAATGCAAAAGCGGAGAAACCACCCTCACTACAGAGACTGCTGAGGAGAGCAAACGACTATGCAACGGAGATATATTTTTCATAACACAGGTAAGTCCTTGCTGCAAGAATTTGCACAAAAAACCCTCAGTGGTAACTGATTCAGTCCCGGTTGAATCCCCGGAACAAAACAATTCACACTGTATAATTTTAGTCCATAATATATACTTAGTTCTTCTGCGAAACTATCATGTGAAAGGCAAGGAAGAGGCAGACTCAAAATAGAGAATTAAAAAGAAATCTCTGGGCATTTTTGTAAAATGTGTTTCAGTTGGTCTGCTCGTGTCCGGTGTAAATACATTCTGTAAATACTCAAGCGTATTGTTGTTGAAATGGGTAATGTTTTGGATATAGGTAGAAACATCATCTTAAGTAAAGAATAAAGCTGATTTACAGCTTGAGCTCTCCCTGGCAGAAGACTAAGCTGACCAAAAAATACAGCAACAAAACCCTCTATTTTTCTGCTGGGCTCAGTGAGTCGGGTTGACTCAGCGGAGAGTCTGGTGAAAGTATCGCTATTTGTGCGTGGGAAAGGGGGACCATACGGGGTTGGTGGGAGAGAGTAGGCTCTTCTCCGTTCCTGGCAACAAATTGTTACATGGCCTCCTTGGTATATTTCGCTGTACCCTCAGATAATCTTAAGTTTTCTGGGGGTTAAAACTGCCTTTCTCAGCATTTTTCTTATTAAACAGAAGGAGTTAGGGTAGGCCCTGTACAGTGAAACTATTTTCCTTGAAGGTGGTCAGTGAAAGATAGCAATGTTTTGGGTTCAGCGTCTTCAGGCGGTTGACATTGCAGCTGTTGTAATTTCAGGGAAAGCTAGAATACGGACACGCACAGATGTATAGGCACTGATCACACTGCTGATACAAGCTTACTGCCGAGTGTTCTTGTGCTGTTTCTTTAGGATGTAGAAATTGATAAGCAGCGCTTATTGACCATCAGCAGCACGTATGGCTCCACGTTCACGGTGAAGTATAAGGCACTGAAGAAGCTATGTCATATAAAACATGCGTGGGCCAGAACTATTCACACATTTCAGGTAAAAATAAAGAAGCTATGAGCTGATAAAACTTTCTCATGGCTTTCTCTTGCTAATGCACTGTATTTTCACGTGAAAGAGCCAGAAGCTCTCTTGAAACTAAAATTCCTTGAATGCAGGATAGAAAATATCCTTGAGAGCGTCCCCAGTTGTCTCCAACTTCCTTGTTCTTGTAAGGTTGGTTGTTCTTTTTTTTTAAACTACTTACTGGAGATCTTGCCTTGATAAGGCATTCTTAAACGTGTTTCAGGGTTCTGAGGAAAAAACTGTTGTCTACGTGGTTGGCAATCCTGGCCGTCAGCACTGGCAGCATGTGTACACAGCCGTGACCAGAGGACGCTGCCGTGTCTATATTATAGCTGAAGAGCCCCACCTCAGGAGAGCAGTCACTAACAAGAACGTGCCCAGAAAAACTCGCTTACAGAGATTTTTGAGAGAGGCAATCGCAGAAACAAGTAACTGTCCCAAACAAACTTCCTCTCCCCTGACGAAGAGCTGGCAAAGTCAAGAGCTTGAGACTCGGTCTGTTTCTGTAACTCGAGGTGCTCCTGGCCCGTCTGAACCTCCGTCTGACTCGATTAAACAGGAAGGGTCAGCAGTTCTCGACAGAGAAGAGCAGACGGGCCATGTGCAGCAAAGTCCGTGTAAAAGACAACCAGAGGATTCTGAGGATGCCGTGGAAGTACCCTCTGTAAGTACCTCCCTACTGAGAAAGTTTAAAACAAACGTTTGCACGCTCTTTCACTGCCGCAAGTCACCTGGATAGTGTTACAGTTGTTTCATTATTACTTGTTTAATCACTTTCAAGATGACCAGTAACTGGTGAAACAGTCAAGTTTGGCAGATGTTTTCCCAGAGTAATATATGACTAATAGGGAAAAATAAGTTGTTATGTCAATAGCAGTAAACTTAGTATCTTGTTACTCACCGGAGGGATCCGTTGGCTAGCTTAGCCTGTATCAGGTTATTCTTCGTGTACAGAAGTCAGTTTTTAGGAGCTGACCTGCTGTGAAAGATTTATATAAAATTTAATAGTTGATTTTTATACAGTCAGACATGCTTAACAGATGCTTTTTTCATTATATCTAATTTCTGAGCTCTGTCCTGGGGAAAGAGCTTTTTTTGAAGATGTTACTGTATTTTAGCCCTGGTTCAAACTCTGATAACATTTTTGTTTTGTTTTGACAGGCAAAAGTACAAGATTCCCCACTTGAGTCTTCCAGACTTAAGAGTCTAACTTTGGGACAAGCCACTCCTAGGAAGCTTTTCAAAAACTAACAAACAATTAACTGTCCTCGTTACGAACCTTTCTTGAACCTGGTTCGTTCAAGATTTTTGGAACAGAGAAGCTGGGCACGCAGATGATTTTCAAAGGCTTTCCTGTATTTGCATGTTCTATGAAGAACAGCTTGTCTTAAAGCGAGCCTTGCCTATTTTCAGTGATCTGTTTTTAGTAGGAGATTGCTTGGTGTGTCAGCCACCAAAAACCATACCATTCTTTTGTTCTGGTGAAGAATGAACTTACGGGTCTTAGAGCGCCCAGACGTTCCCTTAAAAAACACATGGGGATTTCTAGGTTTAAAGACTTACGTAGCCGTCCATACCAAGATTCGTCCGTCTCCTAATGCTACAGAATTGATGAGAGGCCGTTACTGATGTGCCAAAACTGCAGTTCGCTCTTGAGTCAAAAAGTAGTTTACAAAGGGGACAATGTTTAATCAACCCTCAGGCAAATTGTACTGACAAAATTTGCACAGCTTGCTTGCTTGTAACAAATTTGCTTTTTAACACCACATACAGCAGGAGGAAGTGTACCACAAATATAAACGTGGTATTTTTTGCTAAACCTGTGCTAACAAAATGTGGAAAAAAAATACAAAGTAGAAAAATGCTACCTTATTTTTAATGTCTTTAAATCACTGTTTATTTCAATTTATACAGTTTTTCCATACAAATATTTGCAACAGTTTGGATTTCAAAAAACATAACATAGACGATAAATATCATGCTATTAAAGTATTAAATTTGTACAAAAATACTTTACAGCTTAATACTTATTTGTTACAAATAAAAATACATATTTAAGTGACTCATGAACCTTTTTTTTTTTTTTTTTTTACATGATTCAGCATTGAATGTCATTCTGACCTTTTCTGGCAGTGCTGAAATAGAAATCGGAGCTACTCGTGTGTGCAGGGCAGGTGAGCTTGTTCATGTATTGGAAACAGCAACAGGGATACAGTTAAACAGTCTAAATTGACCAGAAACAACTCTGTAAGGTGATTGCTTAGATATGGAGACTCTACAAATGTACAAATCCAGTATCTTTATATTCACCAATAACAAGAATTACCAATAACAACTTGAATACCGGAATAAACCAAAGCAGCTGCTGGTGAGCATATAAAGCAACTGGCAGTATTTTATTGCTTGGGGGGAAGGGGAGAATTTGTGTGATGTGTTTGTAAAACATATTTACAATTTTAAATTCTAAAAACGTGTTGCAGGGGGTAATGTTTCTCATAAAGGCGGCTGAAAACAAAGCGTATCAAATGGGACTCTTGTCCCTTCAAGAAATTGTTTGACTTAAAAAGCTCACGTGTGACAGTACAAGTTTACAGGTTTATGGATCATTAAAGAGCTTTTGTATCAATCTTCCACTGACATAGTTTAAAAAAAGCCATTTTCTTTTAAAACCTTCCTAACTTGTCTGAACTCATTACGGTTTTACTGTTGTCAGCAATCCTCCTTCAGAGGATTTTTTTATCCCCCTAAAAAAGTCTCTGCTTAAAAATCCCCACAGGTTGCAAGACATACCGTTGAGTATTCCATTGCATAGGGGATAACACACGTTCTAACACAATTTACCAAAGTGGGGGAGTAACGTTCGCTGCATACCGCAGCTTCCTACAAGCGTTTTGTTAAAACATCTAAACCGTGCTTCGGCTGAAGAGTGCACCCTTCTTGCCAGCAGCATAAAGGTCCCCAAAATCACAGATCTAGCCATTTAACAAGAAAACCCGGTGCAGCATACCACTCTTCCTTGTCCGTCAGACAGCACCTTTCTGATAAAATGTTTTTAAAAACCCTGTAACCTGGACACCACCGTTGGCAGAGGTTAACGCCGTGCTTTTCCCTCAAACACCAGCTGCTGCTGAAGGGAGAGGAACATGTAAATGATGTTTAAAACACCTCCCCAGTTTCTTATTTCGGGGGGAAAAAAAGGCCCTTAGGATTTTTCGTACTGTTGCTAACGCTAGATTGGTTAGAGTGGAATGACCTGACTTAATGAAGAATTAAACTTTTTCGAAAGTAACCATGAATTAATATAAGCCTTGAGACAGACAGACTGACCTCCTGTGCTTTGTAGTGCTATGGAGCACCTGAGCCTCAATCTCGGAGAAAACGTAAAGGGATTTAGCACCATAATTGTCTTCCGTTACCGAATGTCCCACTACAATGACTTTCTGCTATAATGTATTTGTAGGATCCCGTGTCTCTGTATTAACACTAGCGTGTCTGCTCTGTTGAAGGAAGGCATTGGTCTGATCACTCCACTCCCCACTTGCTGAAGTCGGTTGTTCTGAGCTTCCTTTCTGAGATGCCAGTGGGTTTCTGCTAATAACCAGCTCCAGCTTATTGCCAGATTCTGCGATGAGGGGCACAACTAGACAGCAGTCAAAGTCTCTGGTGCGAACGTGGTTTACCTGAACGATTGGAAGATGGATTTTTGTTACCATTTTAGGAAAACGAAACGAGATCACAAGAAAAACAGAATTATCCTTGAGACGATGGAACCTGATTTATATATTCCAGGTAGAGAATCGCTCAGTACGTGGCTATTTAACCACGGCGTCTGGTCTGAAGACACTAGTTAAGTTTTCTACTCAGCCTTTAACAGAGCGTAGCTAAAGTGGGCATATTTGCACTGGTGATAGCTGTTGGCAGCTGTCACAATGCCCACTCCATAAATGGCATTTCACAGCACGTAGTTACTCTGTCTTTCATGGTGTTCATTAATTTAAATGCAATAGATCACATCTCAAATTTCAATTCAGTTCAGGTCTTCTCTGGTTTTAATTAATATATAAAGTATTTTATTGGGCTAGTTGACAACAAAATTTAGTTTTTCCATCACGATCCAACGTGGCACTGTGGGAGGTGTGGCGCTCAGTGAGAATTACATTATTACAACTGTGTCAGTCAACAACTTGGATTAAGCACAGAAACAATCCTCAAGTCTACATCAAGAACAGCAAAAATTACAAATCTGTCCGGAAAGGTCTTAGGAAATTCCAGCTTTCCAGTGGGCATTTGTATGTCTCCTTTGGAGTTCTAAAATTTCTAACATTCTGAAAGAATTCGTTTCTTTCTTTAAATATGATTTTACAGAACGATCTAGCCTTAGTGCCACTGCATAAAAGCCCAAGTCACCACGAAGTGCTGCCTTTTCTTACTGAGGGTCTCGGTGATTTACATGGCCTGTGGTGCAGAGCAATTACAGTCATTTGTCCTTCTTCCCGTCCCCCTACACGTATCCTTTCCCAGCAGAAATAGAAAAGAAAGGTACTGCTCATAACTTAAAATATAATAAGCAATGTAGATAATAAGTTGTCCCAAACAAGCGGTGCACACACTTTACGCAATGCTACAGTCGGGCCTGTGTACACAGATACCCAAACACCCTGCAGTGTGGTCACGAATCTTTTTACAAAGTAATCTGCACATCATGTCCCTTCGTGCTAAACCTCTGTGGTACCAGAAACATTACCTGTAAAAGTCTGTCGTATGGTTTTAAACCTCCCAGATCGCCAGGGCCAGCTGGTCGAATATTTTTAACGTACACTCCTTTTTCCAATAAACCATCTGAGACACTGAACCCAAAGTCTTCTCCATCAGAGTCCTTGTACAAAGTTACCTGTGGAGGTGATTTGACATCATGAGAAGGAAACAAACAAACAAAGTTTGTCCACATTTCTACAAGCACTAGGCAGGCTTTCTTTCTAGCGTGTTTGGGGTTTTGGTTGGTTTTTCCTCCCCCCCACATTAGAGAGCTCACTTACTTACCTACTGTTGGGTACTTACAGTATTATTATATGAAAGTTGTCCCCATTTTGACAGAATATTACTACTCTCAGAAGCCTCCTCATTCTTCAGTAATAAGCAGCCCTTTTCACTTCTGCTTGTCAGCTGGAAATCTGTGGGTTTTATCCCACCTTTGGTGGTGTCATTTTTTTGAGTCTTAGTTTTTTTTTCTACCCTGTTCTCTAGTTGTCAGGATCTGAGTACAAGCATCCACTCGGTCATCCAATTTAGTTTTGATTCAGGGGTGAAGACCTGGCCTCAACCAAACAATATCATCGGTGTCATGTCTTCCAGAACTTCCATAGGGCATAAACGCCACCGGCACCGTAAGCCCTAGCCAGCTTGGTTTTGGCCAGGCAATGGTCCACCCTGTAAGGTCTAATCTCAAAAAAGTGCTCAGTATGAGAGTTATAATGCAATCTTTTACGAGCATATGAATAAGACTCCTTCAGAAAGAGCTTTCGGGCAGTGCTCTTTTACAGTCACATAGCCAAGAGATGGTCATTCAAAAGCAGGAAATAGAAGTTAGTAAAACTGTTAGGAGAAGGTTTTTCAGGTGTTCAGGGAACAAGTCCTCACAGGTAGTTTCGTGAATTCAGTTATTTGATAGAAAAGGATTCAGACTTTTTTGTAGGTATGTGGTATTGTTTAGGTTTTTTAAATTTCTGAAGGTTTGGGTTTTTTTCCTTGCTTCTCTCTCACATCAGGAGTGCAGACCTGTGCAAGTAAATTGTGTGAGTCAGTGGTGTGACATCTGACCGACACACTGATGCTGGCACAAAGTCTGTGTGCAGATACAGTCACACAGTCAAAATCGGGCTTTTACTGCTATAGCTTTTTTCACTTTGGGTTCAAAATACTGATTCAAAACGTACCTTGGCTGATAAAACGACAACATTAAGAGTGCTCTGTAATTTTATAATGGCTGGGTATCAGTAATGCTCCATGTGCTGCATCCTCGTGTGTGCCAGCCACTGAATTCCTTTCTGGCGTTTCTGAGTCACGGACTCATTCAAGCTGGAGGGGACTTTGGGAAGTCTCTAGTTCAATCTCCTGCTCAAGGCAGGGCCAAGACCAAATTCAGATCGGGCTGCTGAGGACTCGGTCAGTATTTCATAGAAGAACGCCAGGGCACAGCAGTGCTGGGGCACAGCGCTGGCTGGTGCTGCCTTCAGAAAGCTTCTGAGATCCTCCTGCCTTAACTGCCGTGGTGAAAAGGTAAGCAAGAACAGACTAGGTTGTCTCAAAACAGGAGTGAAGGATTTGGTCACATCAACAAAGAGCACAGATAGTTGGGTGTGGGGTTTTTTTCCCCCACTCTCTGCAGTTTTCTTGAATTTACTTGGCTTTAGTAGTGTATCAACAGTGCTTTAACCAGAACGAAAACAGACTCGCTGGCAGGTTTGGGAGATATCCTGGGCAACAGTTGAGAGAAGATAGATAGATACAACGCCAGCTGCTGCAGCATTTGCAGCGTTTCATCTGTAGACGTGGAGGATGCATCGCTGGGCTGCTGTGAAAATACCTGTCTCATGCCATGGTAAGCACACATACCCCCCACACAGTATTCATCCCTTACTTTACGCCAGTTCCTCCTCTTCCCTTGTTTTTCTCCTTCTGTACAGCACAGCACAGCAGAAAGCCAGACCTGAAGTCCCATTAACTAAGCTGAAGGCTTTCTCCCTTCCAGTGACTTTTTTGGGTATGAGCT